TATTTTAAAGACATAATCATTAGAACAAGTGGTATAAATGGAGACAAGAAGGCAGAAGCATGATTGTCTATTTACAGAGGTCTCAGGCTATCTGTCTATACACACAGTGCACATTTTTCCTCTTTTGTGGTAATAGAAAAACCCAAACAGGCAATTTTCTAGACAAGTAAATGAATAGGTATAATGGTTTGTGACATTTTAAAAATATAAATGGACACATGGAATGTCCTGTTTCCTAATAGTATAATTTTGACGCCTATGAATTCTGTCAACAGTCAGAGAAAACAAAAGTAATACCAGAGATAGGGAAATAAACACAACTTTTAAACACTGTCCACAGCACACTGTCCAAACCCAGCTTCTATATAAAGTTTATACTCCTGCATGCTTTTTGCAGAAACAGATTGCAGATGTAAGAGGCAGAATCTCCCTGAGAAGATAATTTCCACATATAATGCACCTTATCGTTTTCTATCTCCCTGCAACTCCTTCATGTTCATTTTATTGATTCTTCTAAATCAAATTTATCTGCTCTCATTTACCCATGCACCCACTCCCGTTGGTGTTGTTTACCACTCAGTTCTCCGTAGATTCCTGAGTTCTGTTCAACTTGCTTTGCTTTCCATAAATGAAATAACTGAAGCACTGTGAAATGCCTCTGAAATCTTTCTCAGGTGGGTAGAAAATAGATACCTGTGCTACATGTAAATTTTTGGTCATATACAGGTGAGGGATGTATTTCTTGGCTGTCTGTACTGTACACAGTGTGCACGGCTTGGCCATATTGGTAGACATATTATCTTGATCGGAGAGAAGCATGTTGTCTGATTGAAGACAAGGACAGTGTGCAGAAATTTTTTTTTTTAGGTGTTGCCTTTAAACTGTCAACCTGTTGGGAGATGAAAAACTGACCCAGGCAAAGGAAAGCAGATCACCCTGCCAGCGAAGTGGGAAATGAATGGGCTTATGAGATACACTAGTTTACTTTGGGATAAAAAATAGTGAAAGATTTGAGACTATGTGGCACACGGATTGCTGTATGTCTGATAAGATCAATTTAGGTGGTGATGAGGAACACTCACAAAACCTTGAGGGCTCCTCTGGGGCAGGGAGGACACCATGACGACTTGCAATTCAGTCTCTAACCATGAGGTTGGGTACGCTCACCATTTTCTTTTATATGTTTTCTCCTTTTGTGAACTACGACTTGAATCCATGGCCCTGTGTTTGCTCAGTGAATCTCTCCCATTGTTGGCTACATCCTCAGCTGCAGTGTTTGACTCATGGATAATGTGGTGGAAAATGCCACGGTCTTTGTTTGGGGATTTTTCTTTATTTGGTTTTTGCAGAACATAGTACTATCTCCCTTTATCAAGTCAAACTCAACTTTGTGTTTTACACAATGTACTAATTTAAATCTCTCTGCCTGTGTGCCTGTGTGTGCATATATTCACCTGTCTGTCAGCACACATCCATGTACATATGGAAGCCAGATTTGATTTCAGATGTCTGATTCCACAAGTTTCCACCTTCGCTTTTGGTTGTTGTTTTGAGACAGGTTCTTTTACTGATCATGGGCCCAGTTTGCTAAGATTTACTGGCTGCTGTGTCTCTACATATAGTGTGCTAGCACAACAGACCCGTGTGGCAATGTGCAGCTTTTTCCATTTGTGATGTGGTCAGTACTCAGTTCCCTTTGATTACATGAGAACTGCTTTACAGGCTGAGCTGTCTCCTTTATACTTCATTCTATGTTCCAGGCTGGGTGCTCTCAGAACTCTGGCCCTTGCTTCAGCTTCTCCTTGTCTAGTGCATTCTGCCTTATTTCTCTCTTTTCTTCCTGAATCTTTAATAACACTCTTTGGAGAATATTCCCTTCTCTGCCTCTCTTCCTCTCCTTTGCCCTTACTTCTCTTCTTCACCAACAATAGTAATTCCATTTTATCATTCTTTATATTTTCATAATCTGATTTATTTGATAATTTTTGTTTACACCCAATCTCTTTTGTCAAGATTACTACCAAATCTAGGGAGGATCAAATATCTCTTGTACAGATAATGAAGGGACAATATTTTGTTCAATGAGTTTTTCCATACCAACACAGTTTGCTTTCTATTGTTGTGATTAAGCACCATGATATGAGCATCCGGGGAGTAAAGAATCATTGCCTTATATGACTCAAACATAGTCTATCATGAAGGATATTGAGGGCAGAAACTCAAGGAAGAAAGACAGAAACAGGAGCCGGACCAGATGGGATGGAGGGATGCTTCTTATAGGCTTGTTCATCATAGTTTGCTTAGCCTGCTTTCTTCAGCAGCCCAGAACTGCTACCTGCCCACACAGCAAATTTTCAAACGGAGTTCCCTTTTCCCAATTGATTCTTGTTTGTGTCATACTGACAAAATAATTAATCCCCACACAAACACACACACCCACACACACACACACACATACACACACAAAAGAAAATTTGTCTCTCCTGTCAAAAATACACCAGTATAAACCCACAACAGATTTTGGGCTCTTGATACATTACTATAATATAAACATTCAGTAAGAAACTGCACCAATGGATGAGGAACCATTGCTACCTTCCTTCATTTTCTTTCCATGTCTTAAAGAAATCTAGTACTCAAATGACTTTACAGACTATCAAAGAGTTCTCTGTCATAGTTCAATTATTTGCTTTAAAGTAAAATGGCTTCTAATATTATAAAGAAGGACACACTTGCAGAACAATATTTCTATCATTACTAAGTGTATGTCCTTGTTCGTGTGTGTGTGTGTGTTTGCACACACATGATTGTGAGTGTGCAGTACGTACTTGGCTGTAGGTGAATTCACATGAGAGTCCATGATCTTGGACTGAGCTAGTACCCACTACACTTGGCTAATGCAGGTGTCAAATTGAAAATCTGCAAGCTTCATGGGGAAGAGATTATTTGTCCCCCATATTACCGTTATAAGAGTCTTCTATGGTTGATTTTGCATGTATGTTTTCATTCAGTGCCCAGGAAAATCAAGAAATGGAAATAAAAATAAAAATAAGCAAACAAAAAACCCACTATTAGTTGTTTGCTTTTCACACCTATAAACATGCTGCTTCACCCTTTCCTAGAAAATTTTGACTATGAGATCCCTAAATGCACTGGGGGCAACTCAGCAATAATACAGGGTGCAGGAGTAGTGTCCTGGCAAAGATCTCCCTGGTTGCAGTACCCATTATAAACCAATAACGCAGAAAAGATTCTACAGCGTGAGGTTCTGGAGTGTGAGGAGCATGGAGTGACTTCAGTCAAAGAGTTTAGCATGGCTCATTTTGATACTTGCAGCTTCCCCTCACCTCTTTCCACAGAGCCTATCCCAGGGACTAAGAAAGCCAATCTTCTCTATGGATCAGGCCACAAGAGCAAATAACAGACACTATACTCTCTGGGTACTGGAACTGTACTATCCAGTATTATTGCTAGCCCCTGTCTGCACAACCACAGCCCTCCCTAAAGCAATTATTTGGGGGTATGGTCAGGTTTTCTAAGCCTGTGTGTGCTTCCACCTTGACCTTTCTCTCTGTGCTTCCTGATGAGAGAAGCACAGGGAGTTCTCTGTGTCTTTGATGAGTTAGGAGCGAGGGCAGGGGCTTGGCTGAAGGACCCCTTGTCAGCTGCAGTTGTTCAGTATGACCCTGGGAGGAGACAAGGGCCCTGAGGCCACAGACTCTACCTCTCACCAATCCTGATCAGTCCCAGACTCTGGGTAAGGGGATCTGACACCAGAGTACTACACTGGCTTTCCTTTCAGGTCTCACACAGTTTTGAGAACTGGGAGCATTTGCAGGTAACACAGGCATTCAGTTTTGAGGGCTGGAGTGTGCTGTGACTTAGAGGTGACTGATTTGAGGAAGAACCTTAGCTCAAGGCCTCCATTTATATCCCAGGACCTCCCTCTTCACACTCTAAATGGGAGATCTAACCTCACAGGAATAATTCTGGTCAACTCATAGGAAACCCAAGACCCTCCAGTAGCTCCATCCTCATCAGGTTCCCTGTGGGTTCCAATGAATTGGTACCCAAGGAAGCACTGCACAGGCATCTTTCTTGGTCCATCTAAGGTAGGTGGCAGGGGACATTCACCCCAGAGGACCCTCCTCCATAAGGAAGTGTCAAAGCACTGAGAGGGTCAGGACACATTCCAGTTAAATCCCTGCCACCTCTAGTCTGAAGGTACTAAGGGATGCTACAGCAGTCCCCAGGCTCCCCAACCTTCTGAGCCCTGTGCAAATCAGGCTCACCCTCTACAGTGCGTGAGGACCCCTCTGCACCTGGGAGAGCTGGAAAAGGAAGGAGTCTTCAAGTATGCCGGCTTCCCTGTTCTAAGAATGACCTGTGAGCACAAGCCATTGGCGACCCGGGTGGTTTGCCTTCTCCGCGGGGATCATCTCACATCAGACTCCCTAAGCAGGAAGCTCCCGGGCTCGAACCCATGGCCGGGGGCTCCACTGCGGACGAATTCCGGGGCCGCGCGTGCCTGGCTGAGACAGCGTGCGCGCGGAGGGATCCGCCGGGGCCGCGCCTCCCCGCCCCGTCCCGCCCCCGCCTC